GAGAAATTCAATGGAAGGATTTCAGAGAGATTAAAGCTAAGTATTGTATGTTTTGATCGCATTATAATCCAGTAAACAAGTATTTAGTGAATTTGTTTTGCTAAGTAGAGTTTGCTCGATTGTTTTGCTATCCTTTAAATCACATATTTAGTTTAATCACTTTGTTTCATGAAGTTTTCTATTTATTTTATCATGCATTGTGAGTAAAAACCCTGTGTTTTTCTTTTGTGATGATTTGGTAGTAAGTCTAGGGTGTAAAAGTTTAAGAATAAATCTTAATATTATATGTGATGAATGTTCTCCTAGACTTACTTTACATACCTTACTAGCCATAAGATTTGTTAAAACTTGTTGTGACCCCTTAGGACTCGGAAGGGCGGTGGTGAACATAAGAATATTCACATTGTTATTTAACTACGAAACGTAGTAGTTAGGTGTCTGTGCAAAGTTAGGGACATAAGTATTTTGGGAGGTTCAGATTAGAGCTTTTTGGGAGACAAGCGGAGCATACAGTTATGGGGAGCCTATACGTGGCGCCAATTGGCACAGTTGCCAAAAACAGATAACTAATTAGTGAACTAATCTTATCTATAACTCTGGAGAGGGTAGATAGACATATACTCCTTTTGTCACTACTTTATTCATATTTTTAAACTTCTAACCTATAACCTACTTAATTATTTACAAAAGAAAAGTAATTTTTATCACTCTTGAATTTAACCTTATTAATGGCTCTATATAAGTTTTATCATAGGATTAAAACAGTAATTTAGGAGTAGTGATAGTAAAACCACCTTTATCGAAACTTCAAACTAGGAACTTATAGTAGTAGACTATAACTTCTCCTAAAGTGATTATCTACCTCGGTTCCATGTGGGTTCGATATTAGGGACTAAAAGAAAATTCTAAATTACTTTAACGATACGTGCACTTGCGTTAACACATAGTGTGAAGTGATTTAACGTGAAAAGTTAAGTTATTAAATTTATAAAATATATTTTAAAACTTATAATATTTAAATCCTAAATTATTAGGTGTACCGTAGACAAAGTAGTGGTCAGGGTACGTTTGGTGCGGTGGCAGAGCAGCAACGTTGTACCGCGCCACATTTTTCGATTGTTTGGGGCGGCGGTGTCGCCGCGGCTTGCCACGTTTTAACCAAAACGCGAGCCATCTCACCAACCCCACGCCTCGGCGTCCCCGTTCGACTTTTTACCCTTGTGCCCTCTATTATCTTGCCCTAACTCGAATTGTTCAGCTTTACCCCGCGACCTGAAAGCTGCGATCTCCTCTTCCTCCTATTCTCTGATGTTGCTCATGCTACCTGGTTCCTCTTCCTCCTCTTCTCTGGCATTTCTCACACTGCCTGGTTCCTCTTCTTCGTCTTCCTCCTCTGTTCCTCATCGATAAGCACTTCTTCTTTTCTAACAAGTGTGAATGTTTGTTCGTTGAATTTGTGATTTTCTATGTGAATGTTGTTCAATGGTATGGATGTGTGATATGTGGTTGTGTGGCTCAAATTTGCTTACTCCAATTTGACTAGCTCCAATTTGGTGTGGAGGTGGCTGTGTGGCTCAAATTTGTTGTATGACTCAATTTTCAGTGGATGAGGTTGTGTGGGTGTGGCAATGTGTCTTGAATTTTCTTGAATGCCTCGAATTTGTTGTGGATGAGTTCGTGTGGGTGTAGTTGTGTGGCTCGAAGAACCACCAAATTTCGCTTTGTGGTTGTGTCGATCGAATTTGGCGGTGTATGTGGTTGTGTGACACGAATTTGGTGGTTCTTTTGGCTGTGGCTGTGGTGTGTTGTGGGTTGTTCTGCTGGCTGTGGCAATGATGTAGGTGGCATTGTTGTGTCGGTGGTTATTGTGTTGGCGTGTGGGGCATTTGGTTGTGGTCTGTTGGTGACTATGGTGCCTGTGATTTAGGTTGTGTTGGTGGTGTAGGTTCTTGTGTTGGTTATGATGCATGTGACTGTTGTGGTGTGCTGGTGGTGTGGGTTCTTGTCTTTTTTAAGGAGATCAAACACATTCAAGTTCCTCTCTTCTTTTTGGTGTATCGGTTTATGAGGCTCTTTAGGATGACCATTTTTTGGGATATGAACATGCGACGCACAGGAGGTTGGTTTTATGTTGGTTAAAGGCAACCAAGAACTCTCTTTTTTACAAGGTCTATCGTCTTTTTTGTAATGACTGATTCGTTGGTTGGTATGTTGAGTTCTCTAAGACCTCATGCCTGCAAAAAACTGTAATTAATTACTTTTTTTTAGTATTTTTAACTTCTTTTATGACTAATGAATTGTCTTTTTAATCATTCAGGAAAGATGAGCTCCAGAATTTCAGGGACCTCCCGACGAATGCTCTATCACTGTAGACTATAGCCTTACCTACTGACGTCACGTCAGGCACATAGCTATGGAAGAGTTTTACAATTGCCCGCGGATCATCGCAGAGTAGTGGCTTCTTCCGGTTGGCAGACTGTCCAGCGGATTCCACTGCCGACGGTGATCGGGAATGGTTGCAATCACTGGAGGCCAGTGTAGCATGGGACATACACCATCTGCATGTTAAGAACAATATAATCATTATATTAATTGTAATTCTAATAGTTTTTGACTTTTTTGGTACTTTTGGTTCTCGCTGTTAAGTGAGGTGTGTATCTAAATTTTTGTGTTGTTCTGAAGTGAATTTCTGCTTCTGAAGTATCAAATATATATTTATGACAGTATTACTAAGAAGAGGTAAAATTGTCATTTGTCCAGAAACAGCTGCAATATAGTTGTTTTCAATTAGTTGAAACAAATAACCAGCCAGCTTCCCCATAGCAGCTTCCTGGAGCAGCTAAAACTACCACAAACAGACCCTAAGTTTAGAGATCGAACTACTTCGCAGTTCACTAGAGACTTAAATTTCTTTATACAAATTTCATATGTATCACCTCCATAAGAGGATTTTCTCCCTCTAGATATGCATCAAAGTTGGGTTACTTTCAACATGTGCATTGATAGTTCCAAGAAAATGATATCCACTTGGCATAGATAAGGGGTGCATAATTGGTCTTTTCAACTTCCATACATTCTGTCCCCTTTGAAAGGTCACATATGTGATGGTTTCCAATAGCCACAATGGCTTGTGACATCCAGCTTTGCCTTAACTCCCTGTAGCCGAATTTATGATGTAAATATGTCATGCAAAGCTTCTTAGTAATACGGGTGAGGACTTGATTTCAGTAGGTTTATTAATCAAATGGAAATTTGTCTTTACTTGAAGGCGAGTTTGTTAATTATAGTCAATTATTGAGCGGTACTCAACTTAGAATAGGAAGGTCAACAAAACTTCGCATGTCGATATTTGGACAATAATTTCTAGGAGCTTAAGATTTGGGGGCACTTGATACTTCTAGAATGATTATTTGATCATGCAATTCCTCGATTGGATGAGTTGGTAGGGTCCAATTACAAGCATGAGAATGTTGCCTCATGGAGAACTTTGATCTCTTCTAATGAAAAAGCCATTTTTGTCTACACAAAATAAAACCAAACCCAAAAAAAATGATTAGAATTAACAAACATATATGCAAGCCAAGTAAATGCAACAAATCACATAAAACTAAAAAAAGTTAGGCTATGACTAAGGAATTGCTTAGTTCAACATTATCCACACAACAACGTAAATTAATAGTAATTTTATCCATCACATGTGGTGTGTTTGGTTCAAAGTTGCTTCAAACAATGCATTATCATATAAAAATTGTAATGATTATTATGATATTGTATTTACTCTTATTTTATCCTCAGCAAATTCGACTGAAATCAAAATGTCATCAAAATAGATTTTTTTATCAAATATTATTTGTTTAAAGATGCTAGTGAACCTAATAATTTACATTTACTAATAACATAACATTACAAGGCATATGCCAGCAAACCAAATACCACTACATCAGTTCAAGGATTTAATTTACATTATCTCGTATGCACCCATATACATAACTAGATTCACACAAAAATCAGCATTTATCATGTTCAAAGTATGAAAAAATTATCTAAAAACAAACTCGAATAAAATTGATCTCCAAATAAGTAAACTCCCTCGCAGACCAATAGTGTTAAACGTCATAATAAGTGCCATTAAAGCACGGCTGACAACAGCTATTTCCTCACACTACACATCACTTGCAAGTGAAGTGAAGTTCACAGCAAACCACGCACATCGTGTCATTTTGTTGAACACATTGTAGTGTTGTGTGCTCAACTCAAAATCAATTGCAATCACAACTCACTCACCCTCTAATTTTCTTTTACTTCCCATTAACCCTCTAATTGTCTTGTACTTCCCAATAATTCTTGTTGTTGGCACTAGTAACTTCTTTCTTACAAACTTTTATTCAAGAAAATTTCTCAATATATTCTCAGCACGCTTCTCGTGCTTCATCTTCACACTTTCTTACTTCACACTACATTCATCTATTAGTCTCTAACCAATCCGTTAATCTCACAAGTAATCTTGATTTTTTAAGTACTCTTTTATCACTTTTTTTATCTTCTTTTATTTGGCTTTTTGTATAGCTGAAAATTACTTCTATAGAATGTAGCATTAAATGACTACCATATGGATATTATAAGTGCATATATGAAATACTAGTGAAAATTTCTCTAGCCAATAAAATAAACGCTTCAATATGCACTTTACGCATTAAAGCAAAAAAGAATTCTCAGGCATCCCAATGTATTTTGAGAACATTAGTCATAAAAAAGAGCGAACTCCTAATATAAATATTACTTTTGACCGAAGATGAAATTTGAAAAGAAATTTTTCTGTCTAGTAATTCTGCAATATTCAATTTATTTTTAAATTAATCAATGAAACCATTAAGACTTTGTATCAAAATTCATAAAATTACAAGGCCATCATCTGTGATGGCCACAGTAAGACCATTAAAATTCCCTACGGCCATCTGAAATATAAATCTATGAACCTCGATGAACGTGAACTAAAATACCTGTTATCAATACTTTGAGCAGTAGCAATCGGTCTTGACTGTCTGTTACTTTCATAAATTGTCAGTGAACCCTGTATAATGGAGTTGGTGTTGTTTACAATGACATTGGTAGCTGCATTTAAGGTACCTGATTTGGAGGCATTGGGCTTGTTTTTTGTTGCCCTATGAAAAAAATAATTCATCTTAATACTTCTGTCAAATTAATCATGTAGCTTGCTAGATTAATCTTAAGTTAATTACCTGGCTCCACCTTGAAGTCTCTTCCGTTTGTTCTGAACACCAGAAGCAACAATAGATGTACGAGAATCGGCAACTATGCTCTTCGTTGTCCTGATAGGTATAAAGATTTAATGTCTGATAAAATTTATGAATATTGCAACTAAGATACTATGCCATAATGATTGACAAGTACCTGGGGTCAACTTTATTTAAGATATAAACATCTGTAGTCGTAGCATTCTCATTAAAATGAATCATACGGCGTAAATCCTTGTCATTAGAAATTGTGATTAGAGTTTTTTTGTTATTTGGAAGAAAATACTTGATAGAAATTCCAGTTATGTCAATGTTAAACATGTTGCATATTTCTGTGTTGAATTCGTCAAACAGCATGTCTGGACCAACATCAATAGCATGTGCCTCTCCACCAGAATAGGACAAAGATCCATCACCATCGGTAACAAATTGTCCTCCATACTGGCATATGGCCACAATCTTCCCGCCTACCATCATTCTTCAGCAACCACAATATAAGACCTACAAAAAGGCAAATTACAAAATTCAAATTAAACTAACTTAAGAAATCCATCATTAAATATATGAAATTGCAAGGAGGGCTTTGCAGCATAGGGTACTAAAACAAAACAATGTTTAGAAAGCTGCTTACCCTTTAGAAAGTAAAAAAAAAAGGTTCATAATTAACAGCATAAAAACCATTATAATTCCAACGCAAAAAAACTATCACTTACAATGAAGATACTGAAAATGACCGCTTGTTTTATTCTATTAACGCTTGTAATCATGAAAATATATGAATGCACCAAGTATGTAATAAATAATTTTAACAAACTAAGTATAATAGTAAAGGAAGCACATCACCCACTGTAATAAAGTTTGGCATAGAACCATCAAATCCCGAGGTTTCTAGAACACACACCTAGCAGAGAATGCAAATTTAAACTCAAATAACATCTGTAGAAAACCAAACTAAAAACATAAGACACGTGTGCTATTTAAAATACATAATGAAAACTGGTGAAATCTAACTCAAAAAAAAAAAAAAAAAAAAAAAAGCAAATAAAAAATAAATACAAAAAAAAAAAAAAAAAAATCAGTCTAGTAGAAATTAATGTCAACAAGACAAATAAGAATTTTGAAAGCAATTGAAATAATTTTGCATGAAGTATTGTAGTAAATATGACAAAAAATCAATTACACTTTCAGTCAATAACAATCAAAAAAGGGAAGAAGAGAAATAAGGATAAGAAAATAAGCTACTGTACGTTTAAATTTGAACAAGGGGATTGCTTCACCAAAAAATACCTCAAGCATCATACTTGATCAAGAAGTACAATCACAAAAGAAGAATGATATACACAATAAAAAACAATTTTTTTCATTAAAATATATTATTTTTCTTAACATGATTCACTATATATATAATATATAAAACCTATAAAACACAAATAGGATAGATTGAACAACCAAAAAATAAAATACTAATGAAAAATCCAGAAACCGCAACCACAAAAAGAACCACAATCAAAGGAAGAGTTGAGTTAATAACAAACAATTGAGCTAGCAAGCAAAATGCCAACAATCCTGCAATAAAAGATGAAAGATGGGTAAGTAGCTGAAGCAACCTCCACAAGGAGACCAATGGAGTGTAAGCCGATACCACTAATCATGGTTGCTAATGCTGTAAGAGAATTAATGCACTGGATGAATAGCTTAATAATTATTCAAGGGTCTTCTACAATCATTTGTATAAATTAACTGAAAATGCTAGAAAAAAAAAATTAGAACTCGAAATATAAATGAACAAACTTGAAAATTGCTCATTGATTCAAGTTGGTGAATATCTTTATGAGTTCAATAAAATGCCGGTTTAAAAATAATTTAATCACTTATTTGATGATTCATTCTATGTTCTTATATATCAATTATCATATATTTTAAAAATTTTAAATTTTGTGTTATTTGAGATATAAATATGATGCAAACATCAAATGGCTAGAGAGATATAGATTCAAATTATTTTTTCAGAAATATTTATACTTCACCAAATAATAAAGTAATACTTAATAAATTCTATTTACTTTCATTAAAACTCATAAATCTATCAATCGTTAATAATGGGTTTATATATTTAAATCATTTACATAAACATATAATTAGCTAAACTTGACTAAAATTCCATTACAATTTGAGCAAGGTTTTAAAACATTGGTCATATTTAAGTTCAACTCAAACTTGATAAGAAAAAAAATGAGTGAGCGTGAAAAAAAAATATAACTCAAATAATTTACAGATATAATGATCATAATGAGCAGAAATATAGTTTTAGCAGAGAATGTACAACGGACAAAATAAAATAGTAATGCATGGATGAATAATGGCCACCAAAAACATAGCAAGTATATCGTAGGAAAAACTTTTGTATAAAGGCTTAGTAGCAAGAATATGATGGTATAGATAAATATACTCTGGAATTCGATCACATCAAACTCATAAAAAATAGTAGTTTTTCCATCAAATTACATGTATAGGTAATAAACATGAATATTTTTCTAGAAGACTGCAATTTAAGAATAAAATTTGATTAATTCTGGAAATAAAATTTAGAAGCGTAAAGAAAGTTCTAAATAAAATATAACCCATGACTAAATGGTGAAACTTCAAAGGAGAGAGGCTATTAATCTTCTAACTTAGGTTATTAAGAAAGAACATAAAAAAATTGAAGTCAAATAAAGATGTGATGCAATATAAGATAGTTATCTACATCAAGAAATTTATCTTATAGGTCTAAAGAAAGTATTAAAGAGACTAGGGAGGTGAAGTGAGAGGAGAGAGGGAAAAAAAGATTTTCAGGCCAAAAATGTGTTTTTTATAAAAATGAAAACAAATAAACATTATTGAAACAAAATTATATTAAAAACCTCTACAAAAAAAAAGTTGCAAAAAGCATAAAATACACCAAATAGTGCTTGATATAGTAAGTTGGGAATCCAGGACGGGTAAGAAGGTAATATATAAATAGCTTAAGACAAGCAAAAGAGATATAATGACTTAAAATAATTCAGATGTACAAAGAGTAAAATAATAGAATCTTGATTAAAGATGAAGAAATGAATGGAAGATAGAATTGATATTTCTAGGATATATTAAATGAAAATTTCACAAAGAAAAAAGAAGAGAAAAAAAAGTAAATCATGAAGTTTAATGTACATTGACCCAAAAAGATTAATTTGAGTTGGCTTATAAAAAAAATATTTTTACGTTTAAATTCATGGCTATGAATCAAATAACAACTGATTTGGAAAGCACCATAAGATGTTAGGGAGTAGTTCGGCTAATAATTTTTTTCATGAGATCTTAAAGATTTGTTAGATATCAAATAATTTACGTACTTATTTACAAAGTTTTAAGAACATATGAGATATGTATGATATTTATAATTATTGGAGATTTTTTTCATAAATTATAACAATAGGTATCAAACCATCAATTTTGAAAAACCAATTTGATTTAGTGCAAGAAAAAGTCTACAATGAGAATGATTTGTGTGTCAAAGCAATCAAAGGAGAAAAATAACGAGGAAGAAAATAATATTTATTGAATTTTCATTGATCTTGAGAAGGCACCTAATCAAATAGCAAGAGAATTATTTTGGCGGGTTAAGGAAAAAAGATGAGTAACAAAGGTATGTAGAAGTCTCCAAAGCATCTATGATGGATTGGGACTAATATTAGTAGTAGCTTAAGAGTTACTAAAAGAATTCCAATAAAACCAATATTACAATAAGGATCAACAAAGTCTATATTTCTTCATTAATTACGTATATATTTATCAAGATGTTCAAAACAAGAAAAATTTGTGTATGCTATTTGAAAAAAATACTTATGATAGATTAGGCATCTTCTAAATGAGTGCAAAGTTATAATAATAGAGAAACCATTTAGAAGTTAAGGAGCTTATAATTAAAAGAATAATAATCAAGTATATGACATAATTTTAAAGGATGTATAATTGATAATTCTAGGTCAAGATAAATAGATGAACAACTGTCAACTAAGTGAGGCAGGTATTGGGATCTATTCCACGAAAACAATATGGAAATCAATAAAAACATATTTTTAAGTGACATGGTAATGCTGTATAATAGGAGAACAGCATGAAATTTCAAAGATAAATGCAATAAAAATGCAATTAGACATTATATCAATGAAGATATTGATAATAAAAATTGTTCGGCAGAAATTAAAATGCCAAAACATATGCATCATAAAACTAAAAAGAAAACGTAAAAAAATGGCGCTATATTACAAAGATGGTAAGAGTTTCATTACCAATTAATGATAATGCTCTTCATCATCATTATGCTTTATTTCAACCAATCAAAGATATTGAAAATAAAATAGTTAAAAATAAATTTAGGTGGATTGACATTTTACAATAGAGGTTAAAGGATGCAACAATAAGATCAGTTAATAGAATAAAATTAGGAGCAAACGAGGGTAATTACAACATTTAATGTGACATGGTTATATGATGTGAAAAGAAAAAAAAATTATATAAATAATTCAAAATTAATATAGCGCTCAACAAGAATAAATGGAGAATATGGAATATGCTAATGAAAATGATGACCATATGAAATATGTATGAAGGTATTTGGAGATAATAAGTACGTGTGATTTAGTCCTTCCATCATAACTATTTCCAATATATAATTGATAGAAGTGGGTGGCCTTTTGGTGAGATTAAATGGTTACAGATGCTTATGGATTGGTAGCTTTGATCCGGAGTGGCTGGTTGGATTTAGATGGGTTTACGTAGGTGTTGAGAAGTAGGAAGCAAAACTAGGCCTTAGTATTATCTAGCATAGCTTAGAGTTATAAGGAGGTGTCTCAATTATTAGGAGGCTTTGTTTGCTGGTATGTTGATCTTAGAAGACAATTAAGAAGGGGGATGAGTGATTAGAGTTTAAAGGGGGTGTTATGGATGAGAGGTGAATAACTAGAAAAAAATAATAATTATCTAATCTCACCTAAAAAAACACGCTTGAAGCTACTAAACCAAACAAAAAAAAGTGAAAAAATTCACTGAAATATGCATTTAACAGTTGAATTAGTTCACTACAGAGCAACCATATTTGTAGAGCTTTCATTAAGCAATATTCAAATAAAAAAAGAGAAACTTTGGAGAGAAAACTACATGGCTATTAATGGAGGAAGACTACCATCTCTTAAATTATTTTTATTATGATTAGCTCATACAAGCCTTAATTTTAAAAAATCAAAACTTCTAGAAATTATATTTAAAATTTAAATAATAAAATACAAATGCAATCATTCCTTTTTTTTTTTAAAGTTCTTGTGTTGAGTCTTGATTGAGCTCTCAATTGGACCATGGCTAAGCTCTTGATTGAGCATTTTCTTGAGCTCTTGCGATGAGCTTTGATTGAGCTCTCGATTGGACCTTGACTGAGCTCTTGATTGAGCACTTTCTTGAGCTCTTACTTTTGCTCTTGTGAA